TAAGTACTACATTGTTTATAATTACGCTACCATGTTTGAGGTATGTATTATCAGTTCAGTATCCGCTCGGAATGGTCACCGGTCCATTCTGGGTTCTAGTGGCCCTAATCTGCCCACTAGAGTGTGCACATGGTGTCTGGTATTAGTTTTGCCGGCAGATGTTCAGTTATCAGTTACGTGACTTATGTCGCGAGATCAGACCGATATCAGATATCAGTTTCAGTTTCAGATTCAGTTCAGTTATATATGCTAGGATCATGATATTGTTATTATATTCACTGTTTTACTTTAGTTTGAGTTTCTGCGGAGCACAGTGCCTTAGTGCTCACGCCCCCACATATTTCATGTTTTTCAGGTCGCAGAGTCGGGGACGAGGAGTGAGCTGGCGGGCAGTTCAGAACATTTGTGTATATGTATATATGTTTTGGCCACGCTGTTATTTTCCGCTAAATTTTTCAGTACTTAAACTCAGCTTTTGATATGACATTAGTCGGTTAAAATATTTCAGAACCGTTTTTATTATCAGTTTAAAATGTAACGGTTTTCAGAAAAGTCAAGTTTTTCACGGTAGCACTCCGAATTAGTTTTCGCAAAATAAATATTTTATTTTATTTATTTATTCAGAAAATTTGCGAAAAATGTGTACTCTGATTTCAATAAAAAGTCGGGGTGTTACAAATAAGGTGACCATAATCTATTTTTTGTTGTTCATATATACCAAATTTATGTTATTGTTAGGTTGTGCTAGGTTTTATTCACCCTAAAACAAAAAAATAAGGTGACAATGATCATTATACCACTATGCATGATTATGGTACCTCTGCTTGAGTATTTAGTACCATGTTTATCACTACTTGGCACCAGTTTTGCTAAAAAATTTGAAGTTGTTGTTTTATTTTATCCAATTATTGTTAGATAAAATGGAAGGGGCACAAAGTGATATATTAGGGATATGTACCTACAACAATGAATTGTTTGTGTTTTCTATGCACCTTGGATCAACTCTTGACGAAATGTGCATCCTTATTTGTAAGAGGTGACCGAATGTAAATTTTGAATCTGTCATGTTATGCTATATTGCGCGAAACGGAAAAAAGAAAGTTAGTTTGTCAAATGATGAGGATGTGAAAAATATGATTCAGTTGCATTTGTGTCGGAAAGTAAGTGTTGTAGAGATACTTGCCATTGAAAAAAAAAATAAAAGACCGTATCATGGAGTTCAATCCATTTCGATGAGCATGAGCAGGTTATGTTGCTTTCTATGATAGTAATGATTTTATTATTGAAATATTGTATAGTTGTAGGATATCCTAGTTCATTATTTTGTTAACTAGTTTCATTCTTTATAAACTTCTAATTTTTTTGTCATGACCGCAGGGAAATTGTACCTTATGATGATTTCTCGGAGGGAGATTCTGAGTTGTTTTTCCAAGATAATTAACTTGATTCTTGGGGATATTGCATCAAAGGAGAGTGAAAGATTTTCAATGCCACAGATGAATTTTGAAAGCATGCTAAAAACAACGTGATTGCTAATAGGCATTCTTTTAAGTGTCGAAAAAAAAATAGTCAGAAGATCATTGTATGTTGTGGTGATGACGATTGTCAGTGAAGAACATATGCATCAAAATACAAAGGTGATCAGTTGTTTGTCATCCAGAAGTGCTATATAGTCCTTACTTGCGGAGTGTCCATGTTGGGATCTGTGAGGATCTCGTTATGCAAAAGTTATGAATTCAATAGCAAACGTAAACCTTCATGGAAGCCTTACTCAGGCCATACGTTAATTGCTCAGGTAGGGGTGGTGTCGTTCGTCCCATATTTATCAGGAAAGAAATTTCTCGGCCGATACGTTAGTTTCGCTAGCTGTTGATGTCCCAGTTGGTTATCATCACCTTCTGACCCCGCTGTGGGTTCTAGGCCATTGGCTTGATCATGATATCTTAGGCATGGCTCACCCACGTCGTGTGATGCTTAGTGTTCGTTAGGCTTAGGCCTCGTATCTTGTACCAAAAAAAAAAGAAAATAATCATAAATTAAAATTTACATTAAAATATTTTCATATCAATGAACAGATGAGAGAATAAATTGTGACTATAGAATAAATAAAAAATCCCTCTACATCTTAATAAAGGGAGGTTGGGGTGCTTTTAGAAAGGCCACGTGTACACGTTAAACTTCTCCGTATGCGTTTTGTTTTGTGTTTTTGGGTAGTTTGTGTTTGAGCCTTTTTGTTTCCTACTTTTCCTTGTCATTGTGCAGAAAAACCGACATGGTAAATTTGGTATTTCAATAGGAATGTGTAATTAGTTTCATCTTCTCCAACATCTTAGTTGTAATCAAGACTCGGGTCTGCCTAGAATATAAAGAAACAAGTATATACAATCAAATAAGCCGCACGAATAGTTTGACATCTTATTTTGTACTTACATTGAAAAACATGGAATGCTTGGATATAATTTTTTTTAGTGATGTTTGATTTGTTTGGATTTCTTAATTTTGAAAAAAGAATTATGATTAGTTGTTATTTGGTATATTAAAATAATATATAAATTAAAATAATTAACGTTGATTTGATGTAAAAGTAGGAGAGAAATGATTTGAAATAGTGGTTAGTTAAAAGTATGTGAGTGAATGAATAGTAGATAGAAGTTGATTTGGTGTGTAATAATAATAGATTGATATTATTAGATTATATATATTAATGATAGTGAAATTGAGTTAAAAATGTTCCTTTGTTTTTTGAGAATTTCTTTATCAACGATTTATTCTACACAATCTTGAAAAATCTAAACATCATCAAGTACCACTTTATATTTTTATTGGGTGATTATTTACTTTTTTTTTTAACTTATTTTTAAAGGGATTTAGTCTCTGTACTTTTAAAGCAATAACTCTCTTATGTGTAGTTTTGAGACTTTTTTATGTTTAATATTTTATACTGTTGCTACATGTTTCATATTTGTCTAGAAAAATATTCATTGACCTCAAACATGAATGGTTTGGAAAAGGCAAACTTATCGACTTTAAGAGGAAATTGTTGTAAGTCATTGTTACAGCTTTGTTATGAAGGCAACAATTAGTTTTATAGTGGAGTCAACCTTCAATAACACTAATATAATTTTATGAATATGGTATGGTTTACTTACTGTATATAGAAGGTTGGCTCCACTATGAAATCAACTGTTGGCTTCATAGAAAAACGAGTCAGTGTTATTATAAAATTTTGACACATCTAGATAAATAAATCTATACATTACATAATAGGTTGGGAGCTCGTACATGCTGAGAATTGAGATAATTGGTGCCTCTTCTGCTCAAACTAATTACACAAGCAAAACAAAAGAAATATTTTATACACCATGGCGGGTTTTATGACAATAAATTGGTCATCACATAAATAATGTTTGACAAGTTGCCTTTAATTTTGAAAACCCAGAAGTCGTGTTTTAACAGTCTTGCGTGGGGGGTTAATTTTTTACCTATTATTTGTGTATGGTACCTATGGTTTTAGGTGTGTTTGTCACCATACGCCTTTTTCGAGTCATTTTTTGCAATCTTTGAACTAATTTGTGTAAATTTTGAGAATATCATCTTCAAACATAAATATTTTTGCATTATGGGCTGGTTGTGAATCGCACAACTGGAGATTCCTACTATACTTATACTAAAATGTCTACGGCACACTTTGTTGCAAAACAGTATGTTCCCCACAAATTGACTGCACATATTTTACAAATTGGATTATACATAAGGCGCCTACCCTAAAAAGGACGAAAAAAAGACTCTAGTTTCAAGCAAGAAAAACTAGTTTTTTTTCCATCTAGGAAACTTAAAATCACTTTCCCTAAGAGTTTGCGTGCTCAACATTCAAAGAAACTTCAAAAGTTGAACACATGCATTCTTTTCCAAGGCACAGGTCCTAATTTCACTTAATTTGATGAGACATATCCTTACCCATTGCTTCAAAACATTAAAGATGAAATGAAGCCCTTCGTTGCAATATGCAACCACATCGAAGCCCCATCACCAACATCACTCATTAGTGATGATGAAAACAGAAGAACCGTGTCACATCAGGAGATGTCAGAGTTCTGCTTGAGAGGCCACGAGGCATTGTATACAATGAGTCCCATCATTAGAACCAAGCTGCCCAAGACGAAATACGGACTCAAATTTACGCCTTCCGGAAGATACGGCAATGGAAGAGAGAGAATGTATATCGAGATTGGCACTGGAAATTGAACAGAATAAACAATTATGTTAGGATGAGGTCCAATATAACATGCATGGCTCTCGGTAAAAAAGTGATGGGAGTGTACCTGATGACATCACAGCAAGAGAAGAAACCACAGCCGAAGACAATTTCAAAAGATTGAGCACGGATATGTTGAAAGCTATATTTGTTATTATGTAGAGGATGGGTAGTAATGGTGCTCCATCACAGCCTGACAAGAAAAAATTATGAAAATGATGAGACGAGAAAAAAAATAAAATAAAATAAAATAAAAAAAGACTTGTATGTAGAACAATCATCAGAAACAGAAGCAAACTTAATCATAATAAATATCAGAACCCAGTGACTCAAAAGTTTTCTCTCTCTTAGTTACAGTGCAGGGTACAGAGCGACAAATTTTCATTCTCGTATGTTTACGAATATTAGTGAACTTTCAGTTTGTCATGAATTCAAGATAATCCTGCTTCAGAAGCATGCATCAGTAGAGCTTTCCTTTTTCGTCCAATTCAATCGTTGAAAAGTATTTCAAAAATAATATTTGGGCTTAACAGTTAAAAAAGTATTTTAAAGCTTAGTAACGTAGTAGTATACTTGACGTAAACTTATCTCAGTTCTTGAAAGAATGGGATTTGGAATTGCTTCTATTTAGATTGATAATTATTCTTAATGCTGCTTTTGCAATATTATATCGCAACATATCGACTTGGGTTCAGGGAACAAACTAGGTTGAAGTCAGTCAAATTAATTTCGTGACATTTCGAAATCCGATGGGTGATACTTAAACTTGCAGACAACCGGCGAAAGATAATATGCTCGCTATTTTCTTGAACAATGGCAAGTTAAGAGACAGAAAGGAATTTCAAACACAGACAGAACATGAGCTGTTACCAGTTGTTTTGTTCCCAACGTGAAGAAAGCATGCAGCACCACTTCTCAAGTATGAGGGGAGTTCAGATAATGGTATACCCTTCAAGTTGGACAAAAAAGGCAGAAAGAGGAGTACAAAAAGTGCCTACAAGCAAAATAGAAATGTGAGATATGTGCATATACAGTACAGAAATATACGAAATTCCTAGCTAGTTAATGACATAACATCTATTCAGTTATTATGAATAGAGGTTCCACATACATAACATAATTATAAATACAATAAATAGGAATCTATATATATATATATATATCTATATATATACATATAAAAGGTTGGATTCATTCGAAATAGTAAGATTTTTCCGCCAAAAATATCCTTCTTACTAAATAAGGAAATTTTTTTGAACATTTTTTTTTTTACTTTCTTTTTAAATTTTCTTTTGGTAATTTTTTCTTTAAAATCAGTGATGTGACTTTTATTTTTATTTAGACAATGTGATAAATGATCTAAAATTATTGATTAACTTTCTAAAAAAATTAAATCAATTATTTTATTACTATCTAATCTATTTTTATTTTTATTTTTGTAGTGATATCAATAATTGAAAATAAACTTTCAAAAATTTAAAAAATAATTATTCAATTTTCAACTAATCTAAATTTTTATTTGATTTGAAATATAAATTAATGGATACGTTTATTTATTAATCACTCAAAAAATAATCATTTATAAATTTA